TCCTCCTGCAGACCCCGAGTAAGGTTTTCTCAAAGCATAAGCAGTTAGGCTTGAGGGAGTCAGCATCAGGGGCTGCTCCCTGAGAAGAAGTTCTATTTGAGCAGTTTGAACCCAGCATCACTGAGGGGCTTGGGGGCCTTTGTCATTTCCCTGGCAGCATGAAATCTCTTAAACTTGTGATTTCCTCTTGCCTGTGACCTTTTGTTGTGTCACAGTAGATTCTGTATCATTAGCCTAAAAGGCTTATTAGTGGTGAAAACTTTGTTTTCCCTAAAGTGCAGGAGTGGTTCCTTCTTAGAGAAAGGGGCAGTCGTTTAGCTGAGTATGGGTGACCTGGCCTTTATACATTACGATGATTTGACTGGCCTCAACCTGAGTGAATGTTCAGTGTCACAGAGCTGCCCAATATTCAGTGGACCCTGTCTCCTGCCTAACACGGATTTACTGAGGAACCATGAGATCTGAGAACAGGTGGAAGCAGACAGAGCTGCCTCTGCTGGGAAGACATGGGGGCTGTGGCCGGAGGGGCAGGTAGACCCTGCAGTCGAAGCTCTTGTAACCCTACCCCCCTCCATGAGAGTTCAGGCAAGACCCATCCTTGCCCTGGGTCTCTCTGCCCTGACCCCTGACACAGCGGCCCTGCAGCCCGGCAGTACTCAAGCAGCTCAGACGTGTCTTTTTCAGCTTTTCATGCTCAGTGTGGAGCATGGTGCTTGGCACCAGGGAGACACTCAGTGGTTCCCAACCTTTCCCTGTAGGTCCTGGCAGAAGCTGGCTTGATTCCATGCCAGAGATGCCCTGTGCTCTAAGCTTTCCCTGTATTACCCAGCTCTGGTGATGCAGGTAAAGCAATAACATGACTGATTGCATTTTGCGAGAGATGCAATTTATTTTCAGCACTAAAGATTTGAGAGGAGGACACTAAGACATCACGAGCGGGATTTAGGGCCGAGCACCAGGGAGACAGGAGTGGCTGAGGGAACGGAGCCACGGCAGGCAGGAGGCTGAGGCTAGACATACACTTGGTGCATCTTCCAGTTTGACCTGTTGCCCTTGGCCAGCAAACAGCCTGGGATCAGCTATTGGAGAGCTGACTTTGCTACAGCCATCCTTGCGTTGTTATTTAAAAAATTTAGCTATAATTTTTAGGGTTACATTTTTGATGATATTTTATCATCATCATCACCATTGCCTCTGTTCACTGCTGGGGATCACAGAGCTTTCCTAGGCTCTTTGATAAGTGATACTGAGCCTCTCTCTATTTTCTGCTCTTTGAGAGATGCTGTTATACCTATTTGGAGGAGCTTCTAGGTTATTCTCAAGCACTCTTGAATGAGGGCCTGTATCTGGTGGCTTGGCTTTTCCAGCACTGAGTTCCGAGAGGATGGTTTGGGGTGGCATTTGTTTGTCTGAGTCCCAAAGACTTGGGCCTTGTTGTTCTTTATTGTCATTGTGGCCTCAAAGGCTTTTCATCAAAGACTGGAAATAATGCCAGCTAATTAGCTATTGATGATGCAACAAGGTGACTCTCTCTTAGTACCTTAAACCTTTCACCTGAAACACAAACATGCCACACTCGAGCTTTAATTGTCAAGGAAGATGAAAAGTCTACCAAACCATTTGCTGGGTAAAGGCCTCCTTGTTGACATAAGCAACAGGAACTCGCAGGCTTGTGCAATGTGGGCTTGTAGCTGCAGATCCAGCCTCCCAAGCACGCTGTCGTGTTGAAAGTGGGTGAGTGATGTGTGTGATCTCTAGCAGGCTCCCAACAGGGCCTTGCATCTCGGCCGGCCTGCCTTGCCTCTCTGTTCTGTTCATGGAAAGTACCTACTAAATCTGACCACAGAGGATTCCTGTCTTGAGTCAGAACTTCAAGAGAACAATGAGATGGGATTCAAATGCATGTTTGGTTTCCTCCATATTTCTATTTGTTTGTGGTATATATTATAAAGGGCTTCTCGTTCACTCAGTCAACAGCATTTGTTTAGCACCAAACAGGTGCCAGATCAGTGGCTACAAATATGTGAAGCCTGACGAGAAGAGGCTGGTGGTTCAGCATTGAAAGGAATAGGAGATAATTCAAAATGGCATTCAAAGTAGCATTAGAAGGTGACACTTGGCGTGGCACTTCACTGAATGGGGTTGGTGGAGGTTCAGGGGGGTTCAGACCAGAGCCTTCAAGGCAGAAGAGCTGGTGTGCAGGTGTTAATGAATATTCCCATATACATAACTTGGTTTAATATCTGAGTGTTCCACCTATCAAAATTACTAGGTTAAAATTAGTCCAAGCCACATTCATCTGTACCAGGCAGCAGTAAATCTGCCTTTTCCTACTTGCAATGTGGCTATCACAAGGCTGTCTGTCCAGTCTTTAAAATTCTTTTTTTCCCCTTATCACTTCTCTGGCTGATGAGATAATCATGGTTGATTCACCTAGTTCAACAGTAGCTGTTTTCTGGCTTGGTCCATAGAATCTTGTTAAATATCTGTTTGCACAATATGCATCAGTTGATTTGAAGTCCTGTAGTAGGCAGGTAGAGTAATTTAGACAGAAGCTGAACAGGATTCACCTCGAAGAGTCAGAGGAAGGATTTGATAAATAAACTGGTAGTTAAAGAAAATTATAGGGATTAGTTTAAAATTTTTAAAGAGAACCAATTGTTTTAAAGCTTCTTGAAGTTTGACAGGTAACCATTTACATTAAAAAGAATAAGAATTTTATTTCATACATTTCCCCTAAAGAGTCCAATGTTAAATATCAAAGTGTAGCTCTATTATTTGAACTTCTTACTCTTGGAATTTTTTTTTATTCACTTTTTTTTAAAGATTTTTTTATTTATTCATACTGAACTGGAGTACAGGCCAGAGATGCGGAGGGTGAGAGGATTCACCAGAGACAGAGCGGGGAGCAGAACAGGCTGATCGATGAAGTACACTGCTGAGGGGAGCAGCGGGCGGGTCAGGAGAGGTCTGCCACGCCATGTGGTCATCTCCGGGGCATGCGGGGATCGAACTCATGTGGAAGTGGCCTCAGTTTCTCAGTGCAGTGCTTTAACCCGCTGCGCCACCAGGGAGGGCCCACTCTTGGAATTTTTAAAACAATTTTATAGCTAATTTTTTTTTTTTTTTTACCACGTCATGTCAAATAGTGCAAGTTAGGGTCATTTAAACATTTTTATTAAGTGATTGCAATCAGTAAACTGGTTCAAGTAAAGGTCTTGAATTGGTTGATATAATAGAATTGTTCTAAGATTTTCTAAGGACATGAGGTTTGTTGAGAATCTGTGAAGGATAGAGAGTTCCCAGAGAAAGAGATGCATACAAAGAGCTTGACATGCTCCTTGAAAGAATTTCTGATCTATGGAAAATCCCATTTCAGCTTTTCTGAATTGAAATTTTGCTCACTGATGCTTGAGCAAGGTCTCACCTAGTGCGGAAGTTTACATGTTCACTGCACGTAATGGGACTTCTCAGCCAACAAAATTAGGAGCAAGGGAGCCTGCTCACAGAAAACCTCAACAAAGTAGTTTCATCAGCTCTTTTAAAAAATTGAAAATAAGTTCAATTAGTAACTGCAAGAGAACTTTTAACACATCAGCTATTTTGTCATCAACCTATGTCCAGTATATGCACATGGACATATAGATATAGATATGTCTCTTATATGTACTTATGTCATATATCACTATGTATAATTTCATACTATTCCGTAATATATATTGCTGTGTAATATATGTGAAAATATATGATACAAATACATATCCATAAAGTAGATTTCATGTTTCCTCTGGGGTCTCATAAAAATTATGGCTTGCAAATCATACATCTCATCAAACATCTACGGGGCACTTCTGTCTGTAGTGACCCTCTTTGATATGTTGTAAAACTTGTCAAGAACAGCTTGAATATGGAGGAGGAACTCTCCAGAATGTTCTTTCCCCCCTCAAAGGGCTGCTGTCCTTGGAAGTCCTTGTGTTTTCCTGCCGAGCTTTGCCTGTGGGCTTTCCCCCTCCTCTTCCTAAGGAGAAGTTCAAGTATGTGAGGGTCAGAGACAGTATCAAAATGTGGCCAAAGACTTACCTGGAGGGAGCGCTTATTTTACGGGAGATTGTTCAGGTTTGCACTCAGACCCATTCTGTGGTGCAATGTCTTCCCTTGGAAAGCAGTGAAGACTGGGCTGGGGCCGGGACGCAGAAGAGCAGTGGAAGCAGGGGTGTCTCTCCCTCCTTCCCTTAGTGTGTGGGTGAATTACTAGGAATTGAGTAAATAGCACCCAGGACACTGGAGCAAGAGAATCTTGCAGTGGCAGGAAGGCAAGGCCCCTGTCATATAAGGTGACATCCGTGGGTCCCAGGAATTAGAAAGCGCGCATATTTGGGTGAACCATTAACAGCAGACACTGAGAGATCCACCTGGAAACTCTCTTCCACAAACACCACATGATGTCACTTGTATGTGGCATATAGCAAAAACAAACACACAGATAAACTAAGTTAAAGTTAAACTTCTAGGGGAAAAATAAGCAGCTTCCCTCACTTTTCTGGTGGCGCTTTCTTGTCTTATATTTGGGAAAGGGAACTTAAAAGCTCAGGAATCTGTCAACGCAAAGACAGATCTTTTGTGCCAGGTGTCTCACAGCAGAGAGAACTGAGTGGGCTGTTTCCTCAGAATCTCCAATATCAGTCTCTTTAGGACTCTTCCTGGGTTGGTCAGTTTCAGTTCCCAAAGACAAGCTTCTTTGTCTCTTACCATTGTACTAGAAGCCCACAAGAGAAGCAGCCACTGGAAGTGATATTCAGGCTGCAGGTGTGTCCTTAGGACTCTGCTTTCCAATATGGCAGACGTGTCCAACTCAAGTCCCTGTTTCCCCTCTGAGGAATAAACCTGCAGTCTTGGGTCTGTGTGGAGAAGGGGCGGTCAGTTGTGACAGGACCAGGAGAGCTGCTAGACATTGGTCTGCTTATCTGTTATTTACCTTCATCCTTTTATCCCCATTTTAGATGTCCTGGATGCTGATGATTCCTGAATCTTCTGCAACATTAGTTGAGTTGGTTCCGAAGTTAACTCATTGCCAGATTCTGGAACTCTCAGGTAATTTATTATTTGTGCTTCTGATTTCTAGTGTGCAAAATTTTATAACTGTTATTTCCCTGTTCTTGACAGTTTATTTCTTAAATAATTCCTTTACCTAGTTTTGCATGGAGTGAATAAAATGAGATTTATGTGTTGAACCTGCCATCTTCAGCTGGAATTTAACCCTTGACTTCGTAAGTGTGGATGCTAAACATCCCTGCAGCTGGAAGATGTGTGGACCTGTCTGCAACTCTCTCTCAGCTCATGAAGGTATTGTGGCAGTTCTTGAAATGGCGTGTATTAAGGTGTATGATTTGCCATATGGACACACACCTCACCATGATGAAACTGCAAACATTTCCATCCCTCCTTCCCCATACTTATATGGATCATCTTCCTTTCACTCCGTATTCAAGTATATTTTCTAAAATATTATTAAAATGGAATCAAGCAGAAAAAGAAAACAGAGAGAAAGTCTCTAAGAATAGTTTCATCATCTCCCCTGAAAATAGAAACATCCTTGGGGTAGATAAGGATTTATTTCCTCAATTAGCATAAGGAAATCTTGCTATCCCAGTTCAAAATGTGCCAGTTGTTATGGTGTAATTATTAAAAATATCCCCTCTTTTCTCTTAAAAAAGTGTTCCAAGTTTGGACCATAGCAACTCCGTGGGAGGGGAGAAAGGAAAAAGGCCCTAAGGAGACCCCCACTGGGGGAGGGGCTGACAGCATCTACTCCCTCACAGGACACCTGGCAGTTCCACACTTTAGAGAACCCTGACTGAAAGTCAGGTTGCTCTGTTAGGTCTTTCTTTTTCTAGCTTGGAGGTGCAGGGTGAGGGCAGAGCCCAGGACCCCCCAACTTCACCTGTAGCAGCAGCACCCCTCTGTCCCTGGGCATGTGGGACTTCCACATGACAGGATTCTGCTGGGACAACACAGGTGGGTGGAGGGTAAGCAGGGACTGCACCCTCCCACCTTCCATCATGCTGTGCTGGAGCAGACTGCATCTTTGAACTTCACCTTGAACAAGTCCCTAAGCATGTGTCAGCCATAATTCCCCCCACCTTTAGAATGAGGACAAACAATGAGTGGACTGGACGGTGTTTTGATGAAGGCTGGAGAGATGCATGTAAAAACGCCCAGATTGTGGCAAGGTGGGGAATCACTGAAGTCATCATTATTAAGAAATTACATTTTTCTTAAGTCACAGGAATCAGCAACAATGATATTCTGGTATTGAGATAAAGAAAGTATTTCAAGGACTCACCATTTACCGCATCAACTGAATAATAGGTGAAAATTTTGATTTGTTTAGTGTCTCGGGTACACAAAAAGAACTTACTTTTCAGTCCTGGTACTTAAATGCAAGAAACCCGAGGACCCTGCTGTACTTCCAGAAAGCCCCATCCCACATTCTCAGCCCACATTGTGGGCTCACCTACTCTCTCCCAAAATACTGTGTAGCTCTGGGCCCCTGGGAACTCTCCTCACCTCCTACTCCTTTCCACACAGTACAAAAGCCCTATGTGTTGGCCTTTGCAACACACACACCTGCCCCCTTGAGTTTGTGCTCCCAGGCTGCTCCTTCCCGGTGCTCTACCTTCGAAACTGGTGCCACTGACATGCCTGCCAGGTACATCGGAGGATCCAGTTTCCTTGGCTCCGTGCCTGGTTGCCAGTATGAAGTCACTGTGACTGCTGCTCCTTGAGAGAGTGTTTCTGGTCAAGAGCAGCCCTTTATGCACATCTAAGAGTCAACACTTTCTCGGGTACATTCAGTCCAAGGCAGAGAGTCAGGAGAAAGCAATACTGTTCAAGCTCTGGCGTGGTTGGGCAGAGGAGGTGAGGTCTAGGGCTGGTGTGACAATCCATGTGTTTTATGGCGCGTGCCAGGTGGAGGTCATTCCTGCTTATAGTTAGAGGTCGCAGCAGATCATCCTGCCTTCTGAGGCTGCTGTATCTGGGATCCGAGACGCTAGACCAGGTTCTTTGGGTCAGTGGTGTCAGTCAATGATGGACAGCGAACAGTGTTTGCAGTTTGCCTCCACCCACACCCTCCTTGTGTGAACCTTTCCCTTGGCATGTGGAGGGAGAGTAACCCTCCTCCTTTGACTCAGGCCCGGGCTCAGTGACTTCCTTTGTCAGTGGAAAGTGGTGGTACATTCTGGAACTTCAAGGTTACGTCCAGGCCTGCGTTGGTCCCTTGGCATACTCATTCTTGGGTGCTCCCTTGGCTCTCAGCTGCCTGCTGGTATAGGTATGTGTTGAAAGCTCCAGCTGAGCTCACAGGCCACCTTTGGCATCAACTTCTGGCCCCAAGAACTTTGCTCATCTGGGTCAATTGAGAGGTTGGAGAACTGCAGACCTCACTGATCTCTGAATGAGAAATATTCACCTGAGACCAGTCTGCCCACAGGTCCAGGGGACATAGGAACCATTTGCTGGCTCATTGCCCAGTGGTGGGTAAGCAGAATGGACAGGAAGTGGGCAGCCTTTGCTTGTGTCTGGCTACTTGTGAGTTACAGAGAAGACCACAGTTCTACCACATTGGTGGTCTGTTTCCAGACATGACAGCACTGGGAGGAGCAGAGGGCCTGGCCCAGTGGGCTCAGACAACTTTAGAAACCTCCAGGTGCCTGAAACCACAGGGTCCAGTTCTAGAAGGGCTGACTAGGCCTCTTAAGAGCCTAGTCCTGCTGCTCTCCTGGTTCTCTGGGCTTTCCTGAGCTCTTGTATTGAAGACAGAAGCCTTGGGCATAGCCAGGGCACACGTGGTTCAGAGGAGGGTCCTCTGTGATCCAGCAGCCAGAGAGACTGAGAGGAGAATTGGCTTTTAAAGCATGACCAGCTGTCAATATAATATGGTGTGATCTTGGGAAGAAAGAAGGGGAAGCATCTAGAAAAATGAATGTTGTTACCTGAAGCTATAGGATGACTCATATTTTAAAAGGGCACTTACTGAAGATAAAAGGAGGGGCCCAAAGCCAAATATATATCCAGTCCGGGAAAATGGACTCATAAAAGTAGTGGCAAGAAAGCAAAAGCAGAAACTAAACTGTGGCTGATGAAAAACACTAAGGACACAGGAGGAGATTTTCAGAGCAATGTTTGAAGTGAGCTCCACCTGGGCTGTCGTGCCACGGTGTATGTGATGTTAAGAGGGAAAGTGTCAGCGTCATCCAAAATGGTATCTGCCTTTTCCTTGGGGGGAGTGACATTGAAATGCAAATGCATAGGCCGGGCAGGGTGGTTAAGAGCACTTTCTGCCATGCCATGCTGGCAGGCAGGGTGGTGAAGAGCGCTTTCTGCCATGCCGTGCTTGGCCAGCACTTGCTTTGCCACATTAAATGTCGATTCAAGGAGCTCAGCTTCCTGCCTCCCTGGCTCCCTCTCTCGAGGCCTCTCTCCCTTTTTCCCTCCCTCCCTCTTTCTATCACCAAATCACTTTATCTGTCATCTAATTTTAAATGTGTCATCTTTTGTCTATCTACCTGTTTACCTGTTATCTATCTGTTGATGAATCCACTCTTCATTAGTGGGCTACAGACAATTCACCCAACAGGATTTCTGGAAGCCCAAAGGACATGAAACAATGTTCATTATGCTTCGAATAGGAGAGATGGCAGGTTAAGACTACAGTAAGACAACACCTTATACCTGTGAGGTTGGCACATATTAAAAAGACCTTCTCATCAATAAGTGCTGGAGATATTGTAGAGAAAGAGGAGCCTGGTTACACTGCTGTGACACAGAAAGCAATATGTAGTTACCTTAACAAATTAAAAATGGAAATACTATATAACCCAACTATCGCAATTTTGGGCATCTATCCAAAGGCCATATAACCATCAATGTCAAAACCTATGTGCTTTCCAGTGTATGTTGCAGCACTACCTTGTAATAAGTGGGCATGGAAACAGCAGCCTAAGTAGCTATTAATAAATGATTGCATTGGGCCCTCCCTGGTTGAAGTGCAGCATTATGAAGCTAGCTGCAGCAGCTTCACGAATTCCATCTTCTATGTGACCTCCACGGCACAGCAGACCTCTCTTGTCTCACCTGCCGCTCCCCTCAGCAGTGTACTTCATCAGTCTGCCTGTTCTGCTTCCCGCTGTCTCTAGTGAATCCTCTCACCACCCCTGCAACTCTGACCTGTACCCTGGTTCTGTATGCATAAATAAATAAATCTTTTAAATTCATACATTACATACATACATAAATAATTGCATCAAGAAGATGAAGTATGTCCACTCAGGAGTACTGTTCACCTATGAAGAAGATGAAATGCAGCCATTTACAGCAAAGTGGGGGGGGTTCCAGGGAATTGTATGTAGAAAAGCAGGTCCAAAAGAGAAATATTGGGCATTTACATAATAGACAATTTGACAAAGTAAAATACTTAAAAAGGAGTAGCTGATACTGATGAAGAACAGGAAGGCTCCGAAGTTGGGGGTGCTGGGGTGTGGAAGGGAAAAGGAAATGGTGATGGGGAAAAGTAAATTAGAAAAGACCTTTAAGCTGTGAAGTCAGATTTCCACAGGGATAAAAAGTTGCAATCAGACAACATTCTCAGCCTGAACGTCAGTGTTTTGTGTTCACAACAGTCAAAATGTAGTCTGGCTTGTAGTGTATGTCAGAATAAAAGGTCTTGTGTAGTTTTTCAGGTTGGAAGTTTGACGATCTCAGTTGCATTGGGCATTTGCTGGAGAAAGTGTTAGTTTGCAGTTTCTATCAGTAGCTCGGAGTTTCTGTGGAAGGCTTATGTCTTGGTATCTGTCTAAGATTTCAGATGGTCACAACGCCCGCAACAAGGGATCTTTCAAAATACCGCAGAGCCATGGCATCTGTAAGATGAAAGAGATTGGAATCTAGAAATTCAGCCCACGTTGTCCCTTTTACACAGTTTGCTATAGTATCTCAAAGTATTTCTCAGCCATTTTCCTATTTCTTCCCCCCTGCCCAGCCTTTCCTTTTAGTAGACATTATGAATATCATTACGGGTTATTAAGTAATAAAGATTGCAAGTGACCATGCAGTGTAATGATAGTCTGTGCCTGTATAACATTTGCACACCGTATTTGTGGAATTTCAGAAGAGAAAACTAACAGTCTGTTTAAACACTCAGCGTTTCAGGTGGCCAGGATACAGGTTTCAGGTCACAGGCTGCCTGGGTTAGCTGGCTCCATGGACTCCAGTCCCATTCCTGGTCATGGAGGGAAGGTGTTCTTGTTAAGTGTCTCGGGCCTGGATCA